CTAGTGGCTCAGATAGTAAAGAATCTGCCTGCAATGCAGGAGACCCAGGTATGACCCCTGGCTTGGAAAGATCCCCTGGTGGAGGGCATGGCAACCTACTCCAGTATTCTTGCCTAGAGAATCCTACGGACAGAGGAGCCTAGCGGGCTCCAGTCCATGGGGTCGCAAAGAGTCAGACAGGACCGAAAGACTGACACTTTTCACTTTGGGTTTTATAGGCTATTTTCCTTTTTAAGCATCTCTGTGTTCTTATGCCAGAGGCGCATACAACTCTGGCATTTTGTGGGAATATTTTCTAACTGGGAAAAGCAAGGAATTCTGGTGGTAGGTCTGAAATCTTGCAGGTCTGAAGCATGGAGCTGGTGGGAAGGGCCTGGGTCTAGAGTTGGCTTGGGTTTGAATTTTTGTTTTAACACATCTTGTCCAACCTGTATATGTTTCCAGGGTCTTTCTCTATCTCCCCGCAGAAGTTGCATGTAGATTTCGAGAAGGGCATGTTTGTGTCGTGGTCTTTGGTGAACGATAGTTTTTATAATCATTGACTCATGAAGTGATGTGCCTCCCATGATTGTGTCGGAGCTTTTCTAGTTGGACTTGGGAGTCGCAGGGCAAATACTGGCCATGCTTTTGCCCAGAGTTGGTCTAGATTCAGAGTTATATGAACTTGTGAGACTGTGGTGTAGGGAGAGTATACCATCTGCATGTGACTCGATTAAATGACATTAGACTAAACCAGTGACTGGAGTGGCCACTTAACTTGTAACTGTCGAATGTGTATTTGTTTAGGTGTGGGGACTTGGCCCTTGGCCTGTACCAGCTCATCTACTTCATAGAAATGCCCTGTGAGCTGGGCACTGTAGTCATCAGAAGAGAATATTTAGGCTCAGAGGCTTAGAGAGGCCTTCTCAGTGGGGTGATAAGATTCTAATAGATAAAATACAGGAAATATTTCATGGGACATACTTATACTAAAAAGTTATTTGTTGTTTATCTGAAATTCAGATTTGACTGGTCATGCCCCTAACTTCCTGGGCACTGTGCCCAGGGTCACACAGTAAGTAGAGGAGAAAGCTGGGACTTGGACTTCCCTCCACCTGAATTTGAAGCCCGGGCATTAACCTGTTTCTCTGTGATGTTCCTTTAAGAAATCAAAACTCAAAAAAAAAAAAAAAAAAAAGAAATCAAAACTCAGGTGTGAAGGATGAGGAAAATGCCATCAGATGGGGCTTCAGATCTGTCACTGCTTGTAAATTCAGAAGCTGAACACAGAGACACTTTTCTTTTTGACCTGATTTGCTAGAGATAATTCTATATTCGGTTGAATGATTTTATACACTATTGATACTACGTATAAACTAAAAAACTAGTGAGAACCTGGCTTCGTAGGTGGCACAGGAGTGAGGAATGCATGTGCCAGTGCAGGAGGTGCAAGAGACTTGGGTTTGATCCCTGGGTTGGGAAGATCTGGAATAGGAAATGGCAACTCTCTCCAGTATTCTTGCCTGAAAAATTCCACAGAGGAGCCTGCTGGGCTGTAGTCCATGGGTTCCAGGGAGTCAGGCATGACTGAGCACCAGACACACACAAGGAGAAGCTACTGCCTGGCATGGGGAACGTTAGTGCCCTGTGGTCACCTAAAGGGGAAGGAGATCCAAAAAAGATCACGTATATGTGTATATGTAGCTGATTCACTTTAAAGCAACTAGACTCTAATAAAAATTAAATATAGAGGAGAAAGCTAGTGAGAATTTATAACATACTTACTATATGCCAAGTATTGTGCTAGAACTAAGCCGAAATGACCCTGATCTTTTAAAATGAGGGTTTTAGTTAAGAAGTTAGAGATTCTAAAGCTGTCTGATTGTTGAGGTTGTCCATCAGAGGAAGCACCACTCCCCACCCCCAAGGTGTGTTATCCTAGACTTGACATCATCTGTGACCTTCTGCTAGGAGAATACTGGGGGACTAATCAGGGGTGATGTATTATTCACCCACTGCCCCTGCTGACCTTAGAACCGGTGTTTGTTTTATGATTTTTTGAATGGGCAAATAACAGAAGGTTATTTGCTGCTGCTGAAATATTTGATATTTAATAAGGAGTGGATATTTCTGGGCTCTCAAATCTGTAAATGTTCCTTGGTGATCCAATGTTTACTCACGGGCCATGACTGTTTTTTAAAAGCCCATCTACCTGCCTTGTGAAACCTCTGAGCACTCACATTAGTGTCTGGCTTGGCTCTTGAGGACGCCCCAGAGCCATTCAGGATAAACCCAGGGTCCTGCCCTTTGCTGCAGTGTTAGGCTCCATATTTAACATATACCCAAGCTTCTCTAGGGAAAAGCCTAGGGAGCTTTGAGCATGAGAGGGGCGGAGAACGTGTGGGGAGAAAAAGATTCCTTGTGGATGAGGAGGGTGGGAGACAGTTGGCTCCCTCCCCTCTCCTGGCCCACCCTTCTCTTGGCATCACAAGAATGCCATGGGAGGTTTTGTAAGGAAGGAAAAAAAGAAAGGTTTTCCAAGCCTGCCTTGGGACCACTTTGGTATCCATTTCTTTCCTGGATTGAGTAGGAAATTGACCTGAAGATGCCTTTTGCTTTTCGGATAGCTTTGGTTCTAGGGAGCTAAAGGAATTAGAAATCCATCACACGGCGCCAGTTTTGTGTTATGGAGACATCACTGTCTTTTTGTAGAAGATTATCTAGGAGTATTGTGCATGCGTGTGTGCTAAGTCGCTTTAGTCAACCCTGCAGCCTGCCAGTAGCCCGCCAGGCTCCTCTGTCCATGGGATTCTCCAGGCAAGAATGCTGGAGTGGGGTGCCACGCCCTCCTTCAGGGAATCTTCCCGACCCTGGGATTGAACCCTGGTCTCCTGCATTGGCAGGAGGGTTCTTTACCACTGGCACCACCTGGGAAGCCCATCTAGGAGAATTAATCATTTGAATTATTTGACAGAGGTATTTCTGAGATATCTCAAATTTTGGGGTGGCATTGTGTGTTCAAAGTGCTGGTTAGTTAATATTAAACAATGAAATCCACTGGTTTACTGGGTTAATGCAAAGGATTTCAAAGACTAATAACAGTAGCATAACAATGATAATATGAAACAGTTGTGAGTCTAAGCATTTTTATGTATGAACATTTTGCAATTAATATTCTATTAATATGCTTATTGTACAAATAAGGAAACCAAGGAGCAGAGAATTTAAATAACTTGCCCAAGGTCACACAGTTAATTGGTGGCAGAGTCAGGATTCGAACCTAGGTAAACCTATACTCTTAAACTCTTAACTGCTGTTGTGTGTAGTAGTGTATATATATGTCAGATAAAAGCTTGCCGGAAGGATATTTGAATCCTGTGTACCCCCACACACCTTTGAAATGTAAATTTCTCAAGAGTATCTAAGAGTAAATAGTGCAGGCTTCCCTGGTGGCTCAGATGTAAAGAATCTGCCTGCAGTGTGAGGGACCTGGGTTTGATCCCTGGGTTGGGAAGATCCCCTGGAGTGGAGATCCTTCCCACTCCAGTATTCTTGCCTGGAGAATTCCACAGATAGAGGAGCCTGGTGGCCTAGGTTCATGGGGTTGCAAAGAGTCAGACACGAATGAGTGACAGACACTTTCACTTTTAGTGGGGTTTGCAAATTGGCTGAAAGCTATGCCAGTTGGGAAACAGGTGACCAGGTACTGGGATAGAGTGACATCTTGGAGGAGGGGTTTGACCAGGGTACTGGGGCAGAGAGTGGCATCTTAGAGGAGGGGGGTGACCAGGTCCTGGGGTAGAGAGTAGCATCTTAGAGGAGGGAGGGGTAGGTTAGCAGTCTGGGCTGGGTGGTCCTGATGGGAATGGAGTTTGGGGCTGACACTGGCATGGGAGATGCTGGGAATCTCAGGGACCACATCTGATGCTGGGGACAAGAAAATGGTAAGAGGGGTTGATATTCGATAGAGGAGTCTGGGAGTAAGGGGGTTAATCCTCAGGATGGAGAGACCTAGTTGCAAGTTTAAACACAAGACTGCAGTAACCTGTTTTTGAAACGTCTAACTGTCAGTCTACCTATCTCTGTGAAGAAGTTGATTAAAACATGCAAATGATGCTTATGTATACTTGAAGGAAAATTGTCCTCTGATAACATGCTGGTTCATTCACTAAAAACTGGCTTTTTCAGACCCATTCATGCTACTTACCTTACCCACAGGGATATGCTTTTTACCTGAGAAATACCCTCATTGCCCCAGTATTTTATAACCGTAGCCTCATTCAAAGTTGGAAGCATTCCAGTCTCTTCTGTGAAATCAGGACAAAAATCAAGGAAAAGCTTCAACACCATCAGTATGTATGTGCTTAACCTGAGCAGCACAAACGCAGTGTGCGGTGTAGAGGACCACATGTAGCTTATTGCTAGTGGATTGTGTGTGTTTTTCTGCCTCAAATGGAGCGATGTTTGCTTCTGAGTGTGCGTGTCTGTGTGTGTGCTTCTGTGTCTCTGTGTGTTTGCATTCATTTTCTGCATTCAGCCTGCGTCACTACCATGGTAATCAGTGTTTCTCAATGGCCTCTATAGGTGAGGAGGGTTTCTTTGATGCTTAAAGACCTACACTTCCCAGACATTAAAGGTGCATGATGCCTTGAGGGCTGTAAGCGCTGCACTAAGCATGCATATCTCATACCCAAAGTAACCACAGCGCCTGCATCCCCACAATAGCGGCAGCCCTGAGCAGATGCTTGCAGTGTTCTTATCTGACTGTGCTTTTCACTTTGAGACAAAGTTCTCTACTCACATCTCATGGATTCATTTTTCCACCTTGTAAAGCCTGAATTGTGAAGATCCCCTCATACCATTAAGGGCTGCATGAGTCAAGTTCTTGGGACTGCTAAGGATTTCTTTGCCTTTTTTTTTTTTGCCTCTTTCCTTTTTGGAGATGTATATCAGGAAAAGGCTTTGCCTTTAGAGAGAAATTCTACTGCTCTTGCCAATAATGTGTAACAATATTAAATTTAATGGCAGACCTTGAAGTGTATAAAAACTTAAGTCCAGAAAAAGGTAAGTCATGCTACCCATTTTAAGGTAAGCGTAATAGTCCTAGTAAAAGATGCTGTTGTACATGTCTTATTTTATTTCATGTTTAAAGATTCATTTGAACTCTTGACAGCATATTTGAGATATTATATTTCAATGTGGGATGAAAAGGTAACAGTGTTTTTGAGAAGTCTTTTCTTGACAGTGTGTGCTTTTATAATGGTAGAATTTGCATGCTGACAAATTGGAAGTGTATCATTATAATAAAGTGGTCAGTGACAAAACTGTATTCTTTGGTTATAAGTTAAGGAAAGAGACATACTTAAAAATCTCATTTGTCTGATACTTACAAACAATTGGTTTTAATTTAAATATTGTGTAGGCTTCTTCAGTTTGAATAATGAGGTATAAAGCTCTATTTCAACTTCCTACAATAATCTGGACAGAATCATTCCCAATTTGTATCAGTTAAAGAAAGTCATGAATGGTGAAAATAATTAGCTTTCGGAATGAAATGGCATAAGCATTCAGCATGGATAAAATGGAGGCAGAATCCATGTATCATGTTTTCAGAGCCTATTTGTCAGCTCCCTGGCTGAAAGAAACATCTTAAAGTACGAGTTAGGAGATCAGGAATTTGAAATACATGGAGATTGTTTTTGAATTATAAGAAATGTTCCTGCCTGGTCAGACAGAATAAATGACATGTCAGGAAATGTCTTCTAAACTTATCTTGAAACTGAAATATATCTGTCATTTAAGATTATTCATGTGCGGCTACTCAAATGTAACTTTATTATTTGAATGCTCCATCTGAGAGCCTGTCTCGAGGTTGTTGCTAGTTGATGGTATCAACTTCAATGTGCCGTGTTCACAGGGATGCTTGCTTCTTATTCAGAATATGAATTAAACTGTGGCTGAGGTTTTTCTGAGTGGAACTGACTTTTCTAAGACTTAAGAAAGAGCTTTTACACAGAAATAGGGTAAGGTTTGGTTTACTCAGTATGCAGTTTATCAGAAGGGTTTTTCATTGAGAGTTTTATCTTTTAATATGTTTGGAAACTTTCATATGCAGAATGTGGGAGTCAGTTGAATGGTATGGCATACTATCAGAATTGTCATACTTTATACATCATGAAAGTAAGGATTAAAATGACTTCTATTACTTTTATCACATGAAGTAATCTTTAAGATGAAAGTTAAAGTTAAGCATTAATTCTTAAACATAATGGAAATGTGAATGAATTTTTCTAGTCAGATAAGCTTTTAAAATTGACACATGTAAGGTGTCTGTTTGAAGGCAGATATAGTCACATACAGATGGTTTTACTAGATGTTTTTATTAATGAGCATATACTTCATATTTTACTTAATAGATTTTCAATTATTCATTTTAATGATTTATTTTACTGAGTGAAAAATTTTCTTTATTGACTGTCCGTCTTGGTATTAAAATAATCTTAGTGGGTAGCAAGACTTTTTAAGAATAAATCTTTTGAATTTCATATCACTATTAAGTGTAGCCTTTTAAATTGTATAGATCATCTCCATTTCCAAGTGTGTGGAAATTAATAGACTGAATTCTCATGAAATCTGAGTTGCATTATTAAACAGTAGTGTTAGTGGAAGTGATTTCAATTTATGAGGATACAAAGTTGAAAAATATTCATTCAGAGCCAGGAAGACCAAAGAGCAGAAACCTGAGTTTTGATGGTATATCCTTAGTCTTAAAATGTCTATTAAGCGTAAAACTCATGTTTGCTCCTACATTGTGCATATCCTCAGGGAATTATTATTATTGTTATCCTTTGCCTCATAATTTAATGTCAGGTTCTAAAAACCTCCAAACTATAAGGCATCTTATTGATTCTTAAAACAATGCTGAATATGTAAGGGACTTGATATGCAGCATAAAAACAGAAGTCAGAGCAAGCTTTGGGCATGTAAGGCAAGTGTTTTATAATATGTCTAGGAATTCCAATATCCTCTTTTGTAATATGAGAGAATACTGCTTTCTTGCTTACTTCACAAAATTGTTATAAGAATTATGGGTATAATGTCTCTGAAAGCATTTGAAAGATGGAAAATGATCACAGGTATGGAAAATGAGATAGTCATGGACATAAGGACAATGCATATTTTGTCTACTTTAGTTGAAGAGCATTTGTATTTGTTCTGGAGTGCAAATCGAAAGCACTTTGACCTAGAACCTTGGTACCATCTGCTACTAATTTTCCCCTTGGCTTAGTGTAACCTACATGCCTGCAGTGTTCATGCATGGTATGAATGCCTTATGGAAGGGCTGATGTCAAAGTAGGAGTGAGTCCTAGATTCCTAGAGCAGGAAGAAATTATAGCAATCTTTCTCCTTTTTAAAGAGAAGAAAATAGATTGTGCAATTTTTTTCTAAGACATGGAGCAGATCTGTATCTAGAATTGGACCCTCAATTCACAGATGATAATGGCTAGACCCACTCTTTTTAAATACACAAATTTTTGCTTTTAGCAAATGCTAGACATTTAGATACTTATGATCTCTCTCATCTTGTGTCATTTGAATTCTTTGTGTAAGGCCATTTGTAAGAAGGGGAAAATTGAGAGTTTCTTGGGTAATTCTTAACTGCTAATAAATAACCAAATATACCAAATATATACTTTATATACAAGGTGTTGTTTGTGGATATGAAAATGAATAAAAGCATTAATCTATTTTCCAGTAACTCATGATCTAGTGCAAAGACACGCTCATATCACTGTAACTAGTTACATAATAGAGGAGCATTCCAGTGGTACCTTGAGCTTGGAGAAGTCAGCAAAGTATTTCTGGAGGTGACATTTGAACTGAGTCTTGAAGGGTAAGAAGGATTATATCAGGTGAATAGGCAAGGATTGAAGATGAAGTAGGCAAGGGCCAATAAAGACCTCATAATCCAAGTTAAGAAATGTAGGCATTATCCGAGAAAAAAAAAGCAAAGATTATAAGCTGGGGAGAGATTAATCTGATTTGAATTTCAGATCTCTCTGACAACAGTTTAGAGAAAAGCTGGGAGGGATGAGACTAGAACAAAAGAGACACAAAGGCTGTTGCAGTAAACAGGTGAGAATACAGTGGACCCTACTCAGGTTTCCTAGCTTAGATGTTCTTTTAGGAGAAATCTCTGGACTCTGATGTCCACACTGGGGCCTCTGCTCTGGTCTTAGCTGCCCTGGAGCTCGCACGGCTTATCCCTCTGCATATGCTGTGTATCTAGTCACTGTATTGTAGTTGAGCTAAATTAGCTACAAGTAGGTACTTGCCTTATAAGAAATCTAATATTTCTGCTCTTACTGAGTTTACAATCTCTAGTCCACTAGACAGAATTCTGCCTAATGAAATCTCTGCTCTTCTTTTACATAGAACAAAAAACTATTTCCCCAAGAATCTCAGAGAACCCCAACCCCACATTTTTTAGGTTGCAGGATATTTGTCTCGGTGCTGTCATGTTGCTTGCATAATTAGTCCAGCTAAAATTAGAATAGGGAGGTCTTTGGTCATTTCTTGGTACTTAATATTGTTTTTGGAGAAAAGGGCTACTTCCTTATTTAGTGAAGAAGATGATGTCCATGATGCTGTATCCTTTATTGTGATCCACAGATCTGTCAGTGTCTCTTGAGCTATCTGTTAGGGCAAGTTCTCCATCATCATTCTTATTCAAAAAATGTTGACTCTTTTTATGTATTTTTCTATTCCCGATAAAGATTAGATGTAGGCTGTCTAGTTCCAAGAATAATTTTGTTGGGATTTTTTTTTTTTAAGTGGAATTGCATTGCATTCATAAATTAACTGAGCAGAACCATCACTATTAAGACATTGAGTCCCTTCCTTTCAGGAACACAGTAGAAGGCACTGTATTTAGGTCTTTTATGTCAGTGAAGAATTAAGGTTTTCTTCATGCAGATTGTGCATGTTTCTTGTTAGGTTTATTCTTGTGGTTTTAGTTGGTATTGTGAATAGATCTTTTTCAGTTACATTATTTTGTTTTTGAAAACAGTTAAAATTTAAACACAATAGTATAGAAGAATTAGTATAAAAATTGTCGCTCCCTCTCTTAGCCCTCTTTACCTCTTTCTCTTTAACTCCTTCACTATTTTTTTGTAGAGTTTTAGTATTAGTTTCCTATCTCTAAATGATGTACTATATTACTACTTACAGATTTTCAATTTTTGATATTGTCTATTCATTTTATTCTATGGTAGATGAGGAATTAACTCACTTTGACCATCCCCATCTCCGAGTTACTCCATTGCTTACCTTTGTGACTTCAGCAATTATGTAAACTTTTGTGTTTCCTGCTCTGCTGAACAGAAATACTCAATTCAGTGATCATAGCATTCCCTTTTACCAATCTTTTCTCTTGGCTATCCCTCCTAACTTTTCTCACATAAAGTAATTTTTCCATTCTTTTTCTGTATTTATACTCAGTCCATGCTTTGATAATAGGTTGATTTTAAAAGTTTTTTTGGGAAACAGTGGAAACAGTGGGAGACTTTATTTTTGGGGGCTCCAAAATCACTGCAGAGACTGCAGCCATGAAATTAAAAGATGCCTGCTCCTTGGAAGAAAAGCTATGACCAACCTAGACAGCATATTAAAAAGCAGAGACGTTACTTTGCCAACAAATGTCTGTCTAGTTAAAGCTATGGTTTTTCCAGTAGTCATGTATGGATGTGAGAGTTGGACTATAAAAAATGCTGAGTGGCCGAAGAATTGATGCTTTTGAACTGTGGTGTTGGAGAAGGCTCTTGAGAGTCCCTTGGACTTCAAGGAGATCCAACCAGTCCATCCTAAAGATCAGTCCTGGGTGTTCATTGGAAGGACTAATTTTGAAGCTGAAACTCCAATACTTTGGCCACCTGATGTGAAGAGCTGACTCATTGGAAAAGACCCTGATGCTGGGAAAGATTGAGGGCAGGAGAAGAAGGGGATGACAGAGGATGAGATGATTGGATGGCATCACCGATTCAATGGACATGAATTTGGGTAAA